AGTGATATTATTGTGGTAAAGATTATGTTTTTTAAAACTATTGTTTACTTATTTTTTTTCGGTAACTCTATGACTGTGATTGCATAACACAGGATTCAAAGCAGGAAAACAGGCATGCCACTTACTTAAAGAAGTGTGATTTATACCACTAAGCTGCTCACAGCGACAGCATTTAATCATATTTTTAAATTTATTGATATTTATTGACGCTCTCATGCAACAAACAGTAGAAAAAAAATCGCAAAAACAGGATTTCTGATCATACTATCAGCTTTGTCTTTTATCTACCATCAATAACTGAAGTTTATCATGGAAACAACAAGACATTTTTCGCGATAAATGATAAACGATGCGATAAATGTCCATCCCTGCAGAGCGTAACTTATATATTTGCGAAACACAAGTTGTATGGATAAAATTCAGTGGGATGCATTTCAATAGGAGGCAGAACCACGTTGAACTGCAGCTGCAGGTGTTTTGGGATTCGTTCGTCTCTATCAGCATTAAACATCGAGACACTGGAATATCTGCCCATTCCTGTTTTCTGAATAGCTCAACTCACCACAGATTCACAATTGATTTTGAGTCCAGACTTTGACTAGACCATTCTAACACATGAATGCACTTTTCATGCCTCCGACTGTATTTTTGGAGTCATTGTTAACCTGGAAGGTGAGCAGCATGATGCTGCCACCACCATATTTTACTGCGGTGTGTTCAGTGAGACCTGATGTGTTACATACATAGTATGTAGTATGTACAGTATTCTGCTCTTCCACTCTTCCATAATAGCCAGATTTGTTCTCCTACATGAACTGTGGATCTCTGCAGCTCCTCCAGAGCAACCACGGGCCTTTTGGCTGCTTCTCTGATTTATAGTCGTGGCTCGTTTTGTCTGGTCAGGTGGATTTTCATGTCTTGGAAGGACTGCAGATGTAGCATTCTCTTTCTTTTTACAGGAATCCATCAGATGTTCAAGCTTGAGATGTTAAACCTTTTTTAACTTTCTCTCTGATTCTGCTGTTTTTGCTCCAATGTTCTCTAAAAAACCTCCGAGGCCTTCAAGGAACAGCTGCATGTCTATGCAGGACAATTTAGACATAAATTGATCCTTCATTCATTCCTGATGTACTAAATTATTTTATTATTTTGCTTAGGAGGGTTAGATTTTAATCAGAGATATCAAAGTATATAAAAAAATGCAACAGTGTTTTCCTTTTACATACAAATATCCAGAATTTTATGCTTGCAATGTAACAAAATGTTTTTGAATTCTTGTGCAAGGCAATGTTAGTGCATCACTAAAAGTATTAAATGCTTCTTATGTTTCTTAAAAACCTACACTTTCAATTCTGCTATGGAAGTTTTCTTCAAGGATTTCATACTTTACACTTCAATGTTGCAACAATATCTATAATGTGAAAAAGTGATCCGATCAAAGTATTAAATCAAAACGTACCACACAAGTATCACAAATGAAATATTGTTTGAAAATTAAAGAGCTGCAAGACGCATCGAAGTTTAAATAATGCGATTTAAAGAATGAAAGAGCATTTCAATATGTGGATTTCACTATTTGTTTTAGAGTAATTTAAAAACAGGCTAATTAAATAAGTACAGGAATACTTTTAGAATAAAATAATTACATAATTGGTTTTCATATAAATCAGACAATATATTAAATGCTGAGAAGAGGATCAAAAGTAGCAGACATGGAAGGGAAAATCTCCATCAAAAGTTACAGAAAAATTACAGATATGCAAGTAAAAATCAGGTATTAATATTTTCTACTTGCCTGGTGGCCAAACGTGCTGAACTTGTTTTTATCTGCAGACCCCCTGCGGTGCGTTACGTCCGTTGGCAGCCCATCCACAACATCCGTCTCTCTGGTTTCTGCGTCTTTCTGCTTCTCCCCATTCAGGCTGTCTTGTCTCTGCACCATCTCCTTCATTACTGACTCAAACTCCCCGTTGTTTACATACGGCATTTTTGTGGACAGGCTGAAGAAAGGCGCACAGCGTTACTTATTGACAGACTGTGGTGCTTAAAGGCTGCAGATATTTCATTAACTCATGAAAGAATGGTAGTGGGTCGCCGTGTGGTTTGCTGCAGTTCTGGTATGTCTGCTTGTACATACCAAATTTCAGAGTAAATGAAAACAGATGGTAGCATTAAAACTGGTACTAAAAGATAAATTATTTATTTTAACATTTTAAAGTGATCCCGATCTACTTTTCTTCAGCCCAGCGCTTGAGTCTGAACAGGACCAGGCAATTTGTTTTGTTTTGTAGTCATAAAATGAGGAAAGTGAACAAAATGGAGGACAAAAGAAGAAGTATCTAATAAAAGTAAATATCTACACACTTTTGATGGTGCTTGTTTGATTACTTGTTGATCAGTTCACAAAAATGCCTGAAACTATAAGGTTTTAACCTGTACATCGCTTGAGTAGATAGGTTTACTATTTCAGTATTTAAAACAAAAATTATAGATTAAGTTACTTTAAAAAAAAATCTATTTACAGTAAATACAGTATATGAGAAAATGACTTTTAGCTGAGAAATGCATCTTTTTAGATTGATCATCTTTTTGATTCCAAATTTTGTCCTCATAGCTGCTTTGGAATCACTTTATTGGCAAAAGATATTGTTTTAAACTGTGTTATCTTTATATTTTTAATAGATTCAACCAAAGAAGAAGCTGCTGGAATCAAAATGGGTCCTGTGCCAAGTCATCTGTCACGTGTAAAAACACTTTTAGTTCCTCCTTTGGGTTTAGAAGCTTTGTGTGCCTAATTAAAAATACACAGTTAAAAATACATTTTACATAATGTTGAATATACTAAAGCCGCATCTCTGCTCTGATGTTTTGGCTTCACTTTGTTCCTGTTGTGTTTCCTCTTGAGGAACATCATCAGATATTTGATTTTGTTGCCGCTTTGTGCACCATCCACTCAGACATTATACTGAGTGCACCCAGAGGTAACTGTTTATAACTTTCCCTAATAAAGCCATATGTGATCGTCACGTCTCAGGACGACATATTAAAAAACACAACTGTTCTGTTTTATTTACAGTGCCACCGTCTATCGCCTTGGCTCATCTGCAGTTCCCACGCCGGGGAAAATTAATGCAGATTCAATGATTCGTATCAGACTCGACTTGACAAGGCGTAAAATTATTCAGCTAGTTTAGTCTAAATGCATTCAGATGGCACTTCAAGGCTTGGGCAAATTGGAAATGTGACTCAGCCAGACAACCTACAAGAAGTCTGCAACATGTGCAGGAGTTTTTAATTAACCAATAAAATTGCTGATTCGCCAAACGCTGAGTCATTCATCATGAATTCAGACAGATCCTACAGGGTTTCTCTTTAAAACTTTATGGTTATTCAGCTACAGTTTCCAAGAAAACCCCTGTGAGTGCAGCTGTGACTATATGTTTATGTCTGGTGAACGTCAGCTTGTGATTTTTTGGGGGGCAAGTTGCTCACTAATCTGAACGTTAGTGTATAAATATGAGTGGATTTTGGTGAATAAGCCTCTTATATGAGTTCAAATAATGTACCACTCAATGTAAACAATTTAAAAGATACATACTGTATCCTGTAAGTTTCTAGACACCAGCAAAAATAATAGGATGAAAGTTTTAAAAGTACTGTTTTACTGTCTGACGGGAGAAATACATGTAAAATAAAGCAGATAACGCTGGAACAGGAAAACAGAAGTAGGGCACAGAGATAACAATCTGTCCTGGAAAGAGAGGAAATAACTCGCACACTGTTTTGCATCTCCAACCAAGTAAGACTTTTTAAAATCACATTCAATCTGTTATGAAAGATGTCCAGACTGTGAGGCATTTTCTTTAGCTCACTGGATTTTAGTAAACTATTTCTGCAAAATAGATACTTTTATAACAAGGAAACTCAAAACAGCAAATCACAACTAAGACAACTAACACTTTTGAAACTCAGTGCTCAGGTCGTATTTATGCTGATTTTTGTACAGCGTGAGAAGTAAAGAGACTGACAAGAAGACATAATGGAGACAAGTACACCGCACTAATCAGCTGCTGCTATGCTGTCAAACTTAAAGGGATTGACGTAAATGCCTTCATCACAGTGTAATACCTGTGAACAGGTGCAGCAACCCAGCGACTGTCAAAGTCTCCAAAAACATCTGGTATATGTCGCTACTGTAGATTTGTAGCTTTAAGTCATTAATGAAGCTTCATGAATGCAGGTTTGTTGAGCTTTTTAAAGTCTCTGTAAACGTTTCACCAAATCCAGAAGACGAGTTGATGTTTCTAGACTAGATCACCAACAGGACTGTGGTTTAATATAAAGAAAATAACTGTACGAGGAGCCTTTTTACCATCGTTTTCTCCTAATAAACAAAGAAATCTCAGCTTTTTACCTGGGCTTGGTTGGATCCATTTTGCTTCACGCAGTCATCTTTGGTTTCTGTTGGTTTTCTCCTCCTCTCATGCCTCTCTGGCCCGATCAGTCCCTCCCTTTCTTCCTTTCACCTGCGCGCCGGCTGTCAGCAACTGGCCCAACGGGAACAACTGGATTTCTGCAGCTAACAAATCAGTGCTCAGGCCTGATTAATGTGTCGCAGGTTCAGAGTGCTTACGTGGGGGCTAATTTGCGTGGCGATGATCAATTGCTATTTCATGTCAATGAGAATTTCTTCTCACTCAAATCATTAAAAAGAAAAAAAAACTGAAGAGGATGTTTACCATGATTAAAACAAGAGGAATTTAACTGGAAGAATGTAGAAACAGGAAGAGGAGAAATAAAAAAAAATCACAATCTGTCACGAAGGACAAAAATCTCTCAGTTATATCTGTTATGGTTAAATATCTGACCAAGTGTTAAAGTTCTCTTGCTGGAATGCAAATTGGCAGAGAGCCTGCAGTTAGATACACATCCTCAAATATTTTCTTCCCCTTTTCCTCCCCCCCGACGCCGCACGCACCCTCAGATGAGTCTCAGACATGCAAAAAATTCACATCACCTTTATTCAAAACCCAAACATATAATACAGTGTCAAGCAACAAAGAAAAGTGCTCTTAGAGTTACGCTTCTTCCGTCCCAAGCTCGTCTCCAAGGATGGCATGAGTATAAAAACTGAAGTAGACTTGAGACAAGGCGTGTCAAAGATAATGCTTGCATGATTGGGGCTTAGAAGAATGCTACTGAGGCGGTGAAAAGCCTGCGATGCACAGCAGAGTTGTTCTTCGCTCAGGAGGAACAAAGCACTTCCCCGGCTTCATTGTTTCCAACAAAGCAGATCTGACTTTTCTTTTTTTGTTTTTTCTACTCCAGCGCAACAGGGAACTGCTATGAAAATATGACAAGCTTTAATCTAACCAGACAACATTTTATCTGCATGTTTAAGTTCGTTCACGACAGTGAAAATGTGTAATAGTTATAAAAAATGTAGCTTAACAGACCTCAGTGAAATGACACAGCAATTACAATCTATTAAACTCTTAACAAAAATAATAAAGCTTTGTAAAATAAATGCTTTATATATTTCAGAGATATAAAACTTCTCTACTGTGAAACTCTTGAATAAAAAGACCAACAATATAATCACAATTAAACAAGTGCAGACTTACTTGAGTCCCTTTTTTGTAAAATTAGTTTAAAATAAAAGCCGTTTAGCTTCTGAAGAAGCACCAACCAAAAGGTTTGATAATAAAGTAAGAGATGCACCAATCAATAGCTTAGGATCAAAATTCAAAATATTTCTCTGATCGGTTCTAATCAAACATTTCCTATTCATCAAATGCATCACGACGAAAAACTCCAACACTTTTCAGTCTTTAAATGCATCATTAACTTTGAAGCATAAATGAAGATAATCGAGTAATGTGATTACTTTATTTTGGTTTGAAAACTAAACAGTTTATCAAAGCATCTTCTGCAGATTTTTTTGTCTTGTATGAGTCTTAATTTTTTAGAAAAAAAGGATCTGAATTAGATTGTGAACCAGAAAAAGCCTGATTGGTGCATCTCTAAATAAAATCTAAACGTACAAGTTTTGTTCGCTAACTCAAAGAGACTTTGTTAAAAAATATTTTGTGTGTTTCCTGTTTCTAGTTCAGGTTAGTCGGCTGAATCGACCAACTGCACAACGTGTACAGGAACAATATTCTTTCAAAAAGTAGCTAGAAAAGTGCAAAACTAACATAAACTCAGAATTGGACCCATTTAAATCCTCACATCAGCAAAAACGGGTCACTTTAAATGAAATCTCAAACATATCACTCTACCACCAAAGTGTTGATTATCAGTCTTCTCTGTCAACTCTCTCCTCCATTAACGCAATAAAACCTGGTAAACTTTTAGATTTCTAAGGTAACTCAGAAATTATTATGGAAATTTTTTCAGTTCAAAGCGAAACTTAATGGAATCGTTTTGCTTCCATTAAAAAAACAAAAACACTTGAGCTTAAAATGTTAAATGAAATTAATATTTCTTGATTTTGTTCTAAAATGGCAAAAGTAAGTCAGTAGATGAGAAGATAACCACAGTTTTCAAGCCCCATAAAATCTTATCGCAAGCCAAGAAAACCACAAATCTGTTTTTTTCTGCTTCATTTAAAGTCAGATGTTTTACTTTTTTATTTACTTGAACCTCTGTTGGTCCAACTTTTCTTCAAGTTGAATGCATAAAATGCTCAGAAGCAAATTATCTTGAACTTGCAGCCAGATTCTGGATTATCAGGGCATAAAATTTGAATTTTAACCTCAGATATAAATGGAGGATCATGTTAAGTTTTTGTCAACTTTTTGTTACAATAAGTACATCAAATCTTCACAACTGATGAAGGGAATCTGTGCTGCACTTCTCATCTACATCTCAGTAAATGTAAAAACATTCATAGTAAAAACAGTTCTTGATAAAGCTGCATTTGTTTGGTCCGTTTGCTTGAGTCCCGTTTGATTCTTTGCTGGCACAGTGGAGGATCCGAGGGAAAGCTCTCCGTCCTGCTGGTGGAATAAAACTGCTCCTTTGGTTTTAGCACCGTGTCCACTTTAATCCACCCTCTGCAGGGTCCCTAGGTGAACAATACTTGGTTCTGTAAGCTTTTTTTTTTTAAGTCCAGGCTGGCGGGGATTGCATCACTGAATGGCATACTTTGTCTCCAGTTCCTCGGCTGCTCGGCTCAGGTGAAGCTGTCTCAGTTTGCTTAAGAGCTCCTCCAAAACCTGCCGGTTTACAGTTTCAGCCTTTCCCCCTCCGACTGTCTGCGGCGCCCTCTGGGCCCAGACCCGCAGCATCTGGTAGTGAGCCTCCCGGCAGTACCTGTTGTCCATCTCTGCTTGCTCGATCTCTGTGTCGGTGACGCCGAGAGCGCGAACCAGCTGCTTCATCTGCTGCAAGGGAACCAGATCCAGCACTGAGTAGATGAGGTCGGGGACTGCAGAACAGGGGGCGGGGGCGGGGAGGGGGGAAACATAAAGAGTCAGCACAGTTGTTTTTTTTCTTCTGTTTTTTATGAGTTGAAGTCAGCGGATGCAGTAATAGACTTACTCATCGGGACACAGTCAGGCAGCTTGGATAACTCCTGCTCAACAAGAGAGGTTTCGGCAGCCTCCTCCAGACTGGTTTCCACTGAAGTCTCATTAATACTCACCAGGAAATCCTAGCAGACAAGAAAACAAGCATTACGAACCATACACGCACACGAAACTGAACAAAGCAGCCACACACAGGACAGTCAGGATACCTTGCTCTGCTCCTTTTGCTGGACAGATGATCTGGAGGACAGACTCAGCATCTTCTTATTGAACGAGCGTTTTGTGACTATGAAGGTGATTAAAATCCCCAAAACCAGCAAAACCACCAGAACTGAAAATCCGATGATCACATTCATAAATTGTGGGTGAGGATGGACAGGACCTTGAGAAAGAGCCAGAGATTACTCGTTAAAAAACACGAAATATTTTACTTTGTTGTATCTGTGTTGGTGAATTGCTTCTTTAAATTGCATTCCTGCTGAATACAATTAGATCTTTTATGGATTTTTAACATTATTACTACTCTTGTGAATGTACTGACACCGACAGAACTGTTCATATTTAAGTGATAGACCAATGCAGTTGTGAAGAGAAAGGAAAATCATTCACTCGACATTATGGATGTAATGTATATTTATTTATTTTGTTTTAATTTCAGCAGCTTGGTACATACAGAGACTGAAATATTTGTTTATTCTTCTTAGCTAAACATCTCAACCCCAGAGAGATTGGATGGACAGCCTGTGTAATCAAGTCGTGCCACAGATTCTCTTACTTTGACTAGGTCATACGCACTGATTGTTTTCCTGCTTTTAGGTGAAGCTTTTAGGTGAAGCTCCACTTTTGCAGGTTTTCTTTCAAGATAGCAGCATATTTAGCTTATGCACGTTTCTACCAACTTTGACCAACTTCCTGGTTCCTATTAGAGAAAAACATCTTCACAGCATGATACTGCCACCACCGTGCCACAGCCATTAGTCTCTCTCAACAGAGGCTTTTCATCCGATTGAAAAGTAATCCATCAGATATTGTTTTATATCCTAATTCTGCTTAAAACCTCTCCACAACTTTAACCCCAACATCTCTGCTGTGTTTGGGTTTTGTGATTTTATGTTTGCTCTGTAATGCTCTCTAACAAACCTCCTTCAAACACCAGCTGTTGCTACGCAGAGATTAAACTGCACACAATTGGTAGCAGTTAGCTTTATTTAGGGGTATCAGAGTAAAATGGGCAGAATGCACATAAACTTACACCTGTCTTTCGAGCTCAATTTGAAAACAGGAAAACATTCAGTGCCATTTTGTGTTTTGTGTTCTCACAGTAAAATCCCAAAGAAACGCAGTGAGGTTTGTGGCTATCATGAGACAAAACACGAAAAGGTCAAGGGACGTGAATGCCTTGTGTTGTACAAGGCTACCAGTAGTGACGGTCTTTGTCACAGGTTTGCTGATGTTGACACAAACTACAGAAAAGGAGAACTGCCCCACCACCAAACACTACTGTCACCACTACCGCCTCTTCTGAGAATGCAGTCTTCCTTACAAAGGAGTCAAAACTGGGATATTACTTTTTTCAAGAGTAGTTTTCTGGAAATTTTTCGAACTTTAAAAGTCGGCGTCCCAGAGTTTAAAAAGGAGAAGAAAACGTGAGTCAGGGTGAAGTTTGGAAACACTTCTGCTCTTAGTGGGACTGTGTGGTTGATGTCGGTGGCCGTGCCAGCGCTTACCTTTTGGCGGAGCAGGAGTTGTACAGTGTTGTGCGCACTTCAGAGAACAACTGTGAAGAACAAAGAGGATGTTTGAGAACACGGAGGGGAAGTAGCACGTCTTCATAGGAAGTGATTAACATAAAGGCTGACTTGCTTTTACAGCGTCCGCTCTGTAACTCTGCATGTACTCTTTGAAAGACACCATCAGGCATAAGTGAACGCCAAATAAAGCTCTACCAGTTCGGTAGGAAATGGACAGAAAACATCTGTAGATCTCATGAAGTTAAATTCCCTGAATGTGATTCGAGTTCTGCTTTGACATTTTATCCGATAATTAACACAAAAGCTCCAAAGAATCAGTTCGTATTTTTATAATCAGTTTATTTTTTCTAATTTCCATTTAAATACCGAGCTGTTTTTTTTTAAGGGCTTGAAAAATGCCAGTGAGCAACTTTCAGTGTGTCATAACTTCTCCTGTATTGCCAACAAATGGAAATGTTGAACAAAGTCGGACGTGAGACGCAAGTTTCAATTCTACAAAACAACTTCCCCAAATGAACGTGTCAACAAAAAAACTCCCATCAGAAGCAGAGAGATGGGAACGAAGAGCGCTAACGTGAAAGCATGGCTGACTTACCGGCTGCAGGGCTCACACTTGCCCTTCTCTCTGAAAAAGTTCTCCTGGCAATCACACACGGTGTTGGTTTCAGGTGTACCTGTGCAACACAAGTATTTATTTAAACAGGGTTCAAATAAAGGCCTCGACTGAGTGAAAGATTAATTTATAATTCAATATGATGTTAAGACTCACATGGCTGTATTTCGATCTCATTCAGTCCACATGTCTTACATTTCAAACAGTCGTATGTTTCTGAATCAATGTTATTTTTATAGTAGCCTTTATTGCATTGACATTTAGTGTTGCTATCGTTTCGACATGCTGATACCTGATATTCAAGCTTTGAATCTGTAAAAAAGCAAACAAGTTTAAAATGAGTCAATTTAATTACTGCTAATCACAATTCCCACGCAATGCATTAGAAAAAGGTAATGTTGCTTTACCTTTGCACGTTTTGCATCTTCTGCAGGTAAGACTGAAGTTTATCTGGTCTGAGAATTCACCATCACCACAAGGCTCACAGACACTAATTGTATTGCTGGTACATTTTTCTACTAGTTTGAAACCTGAAAGAAGAAAACAACAAAACAAATCCAGTTAAAAAAAAACTAAAATGACACCATGAGATTTTTTTTTTTGAATCATCGCAGGGTTACTGTACCAGGATGGCATTTGTTGCAACATATTCCATCTATTTCATACTCCCAGGGTTTACATTTGTTCTCTATCGTCAACACACCACTGCTCATTAGCTAAAACAAAGAACATATAGCATGCATAAATTTGCAAACAGTAATTTCCACAAAAGTGTAACTTTTTTTATGTTTTATGAACTTGGAGCCGTTCTCACCATCAGGAGCAAGACGGTGAATGTACATCTTCCTTGGTTCCCTATTCCCTCCATATTTCTGTGGATTTAATTCAATCCATTTGAGACCACCTGAAAGAAAACAGTCTGTGAACGACACCTTCAATACAAGCTGTGTTTTACGCTTTAAAAGAATTAAAGAAAAACATTTGCTCTGGGAAATTTCACTGGAATATCGTACATTACCAGGAATCAGCACAAAAACATCTGTTTTTTGCATAAACCACATCAAAAGTCTCTTCCTGCGCCTCGGATTGAACTCGCGATCTGCTTCTAATTCATGTTGCCTTTTCGTCTGCGCTTGAATGCTGAGTGAGCAAACGTCTGGCAAACATCAGCCCTCCAGAATCGCCTTCTTCCTACGAACATTCGCCCACTCGTTCACTGTCACAGGCTGCCTGGCCTCAGGCCAATTCATTGTTACCAAAGCTTTTATCAGTGCAAACATGTTACTGTACACTGGGAAATTTAAAACAGAAAATCATAAAACGCTGACTTTATGGTATTTTATTTGGTTACATTTCTAAGAGCTATTTTTGAATGTTAAAATTGCAACAACTTTTCAGGAGACTCTGGCTAAAAGTGATTCTGGTAGTTAAGGGGTAGTCTAAAACTTTTCAAGATTTATTTTTTATTTTTAAAAATAAATATAAATCTTTTGGCATCTTCACTTAGCATAAACCCAGCACAGTTGGTTCTCAGCAGCAGAAACTAAGAGTCTCTGATGATCATGTGAACTGGGAGCATAACATTTAAAACATTTCCAGAGTTTTTACCTGATAGAGACAATGTAAAAAAAACAAAAATGTATCAACTTAAACTGTTGTAATATTTTTGTTTTTAACACCACATTGTTTCTAGATCAAAAATGCTTTAAATAAAAGTAATCAATGAATTAGAAGCAGCATCCATTTTTCTTAAATAATCTTTGGGTTCTTTGTAAATAATTATCCAATGCAAAAGGGGAAAAGCTTAATTAAAAGCATCTTCATAAATCTGTGTGACTTTTTGACTTTTTCCAGATTGTAGAAACCCACAATAGTTTGGTCCAGGTGTTCCCATCCACTAGCATTAGCTAATCTGGATTCATACAGAATGATGACGCTGTGGTATTAACGACAACAGGAAAGATAAATCTTTTAATGCATCCTCTCCTCTGTTCAAAAATAATGATTCCCTAACAATCCTGTCAACACCTGAAGCATCTGATAAGACAAAATCCAGAATGTGAGGAAAATAAATGTTAAAATGAGGAGCTGTGCCTTTAAGAGAGCACACATATTATAATCCACTGTAGATTTTGTTTTAATCAACTGTGACGATTTGATTATTTGCTGCACCATTTGATCTCAAGTGGATGTAGATATTAAGAATTGTAAGAAGTGTAAAAAGAGTCATTTCAGGGTAATAGTTGTAGATTAAACGCCTTATTTACTCATTATTATACATCACGTGTATTTTTTATGCGGGATTAGTCACAGAATCAGTTCAGTCTACTTTAAATAGTAATTATTTTCTCTAGAAACAGAGGAAACACGCAAACCAAATCATAGCTGATGACAAAACATTGGATCTGATAAGTATGAGGTGTTTTTTTTTTTTTTTTTTAAATTGAGAATCTGGCACAACAAAACTCGGAAGCTATAAAACAAATTCAATTTAAAGTTAACTCAATTATTATTTTTAACCACGTAAATGTTTATGCTGTAAATCCTCCGTAGATTTCTATTTAAAATGTTTGTTTTAGGGCTATAGAGATAAAACGTTTTACAGCAGATGTCATTTCTGCGCCACAGTTTGGCAGCCGCCACTTCCCTGTCGCGCTGCGCAAACTTCAGACTGGGGTACAAACTTTATCATAAAAAACCCAAAACAAAACAACAACTCCAAATCCTTTTAGACTGCCACATTAAAACTACTCGCACAAACCCAACAAACTCCGCTGGGAATATCTAAATATGCAAGAATTATAACTGTTTTCCCTATAGTTTCGGTTTAGGCACCACATTACGCCCACTGCACCTTCATGATATGAATCGCTGTTCCCACAAACGTGCAGAAATATTTTACAGTGATTTACCTGAGGAATTTTCGTCAGAGCGATGGACCCCTCGGTGCTTTTCCTCCACACATCGGAGATCAGGGTTTGTTTTTCATTAAAAATGCCGTTTTCTGCTCTTTAACCCGGAGCGCTCAGCACTACCGGAGCTGCTGCTTGGCTCGCTGCTGAGGATGGAGGCGTGTTTAACCGGGAAATGGCTGCGCGACGAACATATTTCAAGGAATAGTGACACAGTTTGGCAAGAAGGCCAAAAAAAACAAAACAACCCTAAGTCTAGCTGGAGGTAGAGGTTGCGAAACGAGCTGAACTGCGGTCAGATAATCAATCACATGACTGGAATAGGAATATAAATGAAAAAAATAAAAAAAATCACAAAATCTTCCAGGGTGTTTCTCTCTAAATTTTGTACCCTTTTGTATCTTGACAAATGTCAGTCAAAAATCCCAGGGCAAAATAAACATACAGATATTTGTATGTGGCCAAAAATAAAATAATAACCTGGCAGTTTATTTAAAATAGTGATATGTTTTAATAATTTACATCAAATATTATTGCTTTAAGTATTGATAATGTCTTACAATAAATGAAATCATCAAATTCATTTATTGTTACTGCTTGATAATTGATGATTTCATGTTTTTCTTTTATGAAAATCACTTTTTAATTTCCTTCTTGCTGAAATGTGCCACACAAATAAACATGTCTTGACATAACATCATTGCGAGCTAAAAAAAAAAAAAGTATTTAACAGTTCAAAACTATTATGTTATGGGCTTGTTGTGACCTGTACACAACAAGCCCATTGAGGCTGATACCAATCACAATGCTGCAGTAGGGGTAACTGCATTTTTCAGAAGATTGTGAAACACAATCTAAGAGTTTAAAAGGTGAATCACAAATATGACCTGCGGGTGGAGTCAGTGCTGAAGAACCACCACACAGACCTGTTCAGGTCAGGTCTGTGTGAAAATAAAGCAGAGTCAGAGACAGATTCCTCTTACATTCTGGACTAAGGAGAAAAAGATCTGACTGCTTAATAGTTGACCAAAAACCTCTAAAATGATGTGAATTTGACATTTTCTTTGGAAATCAAGGTCTTTGAGTCTGGAAAAAGATGAGAGGAACTGAATTTAGCAACTACGCCCTCTACTGGTTGTTGGATTAATGTGTTTTTTACCAAATCAGACCTCTAATAATGCAAAGAAAACAAGTTCATATTCATTTAGAAACTACAATGTTAATGTTTTAACTCAGGAAGAGTTCAGAAAGCAGCATCTGGCGTAAAACCAGGAGGCTTTCAGTGCAGTGTGGCCTCTTCGTTTTTTCCAGAGCTGTATTTAACACAGCACACAATTACCATTTAGGCATATCTGATGCCATATGCTACACCAAACAAGTTGAACGTTACTGTTAAAGAAACCTGGACTTCCTTACTACCTTAGCAGATGAACGTTTCCATGCCACTCTGCACTGATGCAGTGACTAGTGCAAAAGGAGCCACAACCAACCAGTGACTGCTGTAAAGTACAGGCACATTCCTCCTGATACAGGTTGAAACTTCTGCATTAAGCAACATTGTTTTCAGTAATTTTGGGTTTCCATTCACGTTAAACTGCAATTATTAAAGTAAAAGAATTTAACACTTAAAATATATGATTGTGCATATAGTATGATAAGCTTCACTTTATTGTGGTATGATGATACAGTGAGGTTCTAATTTTTTTAAGTTTAACCTGTGCAACTCAGAATTTTAATTGTGCTTTAAATGTTCTGGACAAAATCTATTGCTCTCATCTTCTTGGTGAAATAAGAGAACCTCAAACCATCATGAAATGTACATTTAAATTTATGTACTAATTGGATTGTTTGGTATCTATTTATTTGATCTTTGCTTATGTATTTTCTTAACCTTGCACAGCACATAGTGAACTTTTAAATGTCAGCCACACCTTTACTTCTTTGTAAATGACGAAAGCAGAACTAAGATAAAATTACATTTTGACATTTGTGTGCCACTCCAGGATCAGTGGAGGTGTCTCCGGCTACATTTAGTGATTAAATCTTTTATCAAGAACTGGATGCAGATGAATCATAACATTTCCCAACATAGAGACCATTGCCAGTAAACTTTGCACCACTGAGTTCCTCCACATCCACCAGTCTCCATAATGAAAGGTTTATAAACTACACCCTGCAATATAACTCAGCTCTGTGTAATTGTCCATGCACTTTTCTTTCTGACAGTAAGATTAAACCATGCATTACCTTTTTCATCCCTCAGAAATTTAGAACTTTTATTTTTGCTTACACAAACATGAACTTCGGACAAGAACTTCCAGTTTTATATGTTTGTGTGGATATTAGTTAAGCTATTTCTTCTGCATCAAAGAAACAGTTGAGGAGTCCATGTAAGTTTTGTAAAATCCGCTTTCACAATTAGTTACTGCGAAGTTGATACAAAGTCTAACCCCACATCCACCCCACATGCTGAGTATTTTTATTCCTTCCTCTCATGCGTTTAAGTTCTCCAAAATTTAAAAGAAATGCATTGTGCGGGATTTACTGACCTCCTGTGGCTAATTTGGGTACTACATGTTACTCAATAGACCTTATCTCACACGACTAACTTATGATGGCGGGTTTTATTCAGTGGAAAAAGTAAAAAAGAGAAAAAGTAATAATTTTTTTTTGGTAAAAATAAGCGGTTCATTTCTACATGTTGCTCGGAAGAAGTCTCAAAAACGGTCACTCCAAGTGAACCAAAATAAAATGATTATTTTGTATTTTAAAACGAGTCCATGTGATTACCCAAATATCAAAATGTAGATTTTGACCACATCTTTTTTTTCACCAACCAATACAAAATCAATCGGTGAAGGTTCAGAGTGTAGTGACGTGTAGCTGAGCCGCATACAAACTGTTTTTAGAAGATTATTTTTAATCAGAGTAGAGCTTCCTGATAGGACAACTTGTACAAGGGAGGGAAAAATGAAAGATCATTCAACCGAGAAAAATAGAATGCTTCATCAGAAAAACCACATCCTTCTTCAGCAAACAAAGAAAGGCCTCTTCATCTCAGCTCTTCCTCTAACTGGTTTCAGGTTAAGACCTTATTAGCGTACAGGCACATTGCATGCACTCAGCGTAAAAATACAGTGCTTAGTTTCCCACACAGTCACACTTTAAGGAAGTTGTGTGGACCAGCGTAAAACTGTGGCTTATTATGATTGACTGTTTACTTTATTACAGAAATGGCAACAAGTTCCTGGCACAGCTTAATGTTAAATTGTGTTCAAACGTACAAATCCTTACGGTCAAGCAGTTAGTAATACTGAAACCCCAAGATTAGTATGGGCTGGTTAGCTCTCAGTCACTTCAGAGCCGTTTGATGCTCAGTCATCGCTGATCCACTCATCTGCGTACTCTGATTGAATGTTACTGCTGGTTTAGAGCCGCAGAGCCCCCGAGGCAGCCCCTTTAAAACTTTTTGGGCCACAGTTATACTTGAAAGAAGGTCACGTTTGGCGGCCTGGCTTCTGAGAAAAATGAGCTCATCCATGCCTTCCTCTTATCAGTTTGATGATGTTGATAGTTGGCACCGCTTGTGCCCAAAAAAAGACTCTCACAGTCAAATAAGATGTAGCTACAGGACCTGGTTTTCGGAAAGGGTGTGTACAGAGCAGAGAATCTGGTGGCTACCACTGCTCACCTCTAGAGGTTCTCACACCTACAGCAAGTTGCCCCGTCATTGAAGGAAGTTTGGTGGTAACCATGTGATCTTTCCACTCTGGATATGATTTTTCTTTAGGGCGGTAACTCACACTCATTTTCTGTTAGAGCTGGAGTCAGTTGATGGAGTCGTTAAGAGAGAATCAAAAAAAATGATCACCACTCTTACAGGACTGAAGAGGAGAGATGTAAAATACAATAACGACGATATAGGATTCAGGAGAATGAGATCAGAAAAGATTTGGACTATTAGAAACTTCAAAATGGAGAAGCCTCATGAATGACAAACTGCGTCTTAAACAAACTGCAATTAATGGAGAATAATTCAGACCAGATTTTAGTCTTTGTGAATTACGTATCCGTTACAAATTTCCAACACACCGTTATCTATATCACATCTTGCCAACCATGAACTTTAATATATTCAAATCATATTTTATGTGGCTGACAAACACAAAGTACATCACAGTTGTGAAGTGGAAGGAACATAATAAATGCTTTTCAAAGAGTTTTACAAATAATAATCTGAAAAATATGTCTAAGTTTAAGACATACACATCTAGTATCAGTGTGAAGAAGCTGCATCTGAGCCCAAAATCCCAGCTGCATTGATCATCAAAGGTCACAGAGAAATGAAAATAAACTAATAACCTTCACATAAACTTTCTGTGAATGTCCTTCACTGAGATGATTCCTTGCGGCTCCAGCAGAGGGCACCAGTCTGTGCACCACTTCTCAGTCCTGTCAGTGGAAGCAGCTCTTCTTCCGCTGCCCTTCAAGCTGCTGCAGCATTTAGTCACTCACTACACTGAGAAGTCACTGACACGTCATTCCTGGACCGATTTTATCGGAACAGGGAGGGCAACTCTCTGAAACAACTGAATTTATAGAAAATGTACTTTTACAGGAGCAAAAAGTTTAAAAAGTTGATCAAATTGATGAACAGTTAAACTTTTCTTTCCTCGTTGCTTTGGGGGGATTTGGCTTAAATCTGTAAATGTCACATAAGTGATGGTCACACTTTCTGATTCTCAATGTTTTGATGGATAACATGTGTAGTAAGAGTGCAATATTAACAATTTAAATGTTGTAGGACTGCTGTTCAACACAACTACTGCACACTACAAAGGTATTAGCACTCTCCAGAGGTTTTCAAATGCCACCTATAAGGTTTACATGTTTGTTTATTTGGTTGCTTAAACCCCCTTTAGCAACAGCAAACAGCTAATTTTAAACATGCTGACAGAAATGTGCATGTAAAGCATATCAGAATATTTAGCAACAGCATCAACAGAAAGATGCTGTGTTCATTTTGTTTCAAAAGTCAGATCTGGGAGTGATACTGGAGTTAAACGTGTTTCCATTACAAGTCAGTTTTGTTACTTGCGTGATCAGCCCAACTGATATTAGCAATCCTAGTTTTTGTTTCTTTCTAACACTGGTTCAAACCATCAGAAATGAAGATAAAAAGCTGATTTTACTACAGTAACTTTAGCTACGTTTTGCATGTG